TTCCCAGAATCCACATCAGGTAGCTTACAACTGCCAGATCTCACTACAGATGGTTGTGAGCCACCATGTGCTTGCTGGGAATTAAACACAGGACCTCTGAAAGAGCAGCCAGTGCTCTTAACCGCTGAGCCATCTCTCCAGACCCCAAAATTTTACTATTGTATTTATTTGCTTTTAATTTGTTTTATTTCTGTGTGGAAGCAATATGGACATGTGGCTGCTAGTGTCTAGAGAAACCAGAGGTGGATCGTGTGCTGGCTGGTTTTATGTCAACTTGACACAAGCTGGAGTCATCTGAGAGGAAGGTGCCCCCACCAGACTGGCCTGTAGGAAAGCCTGTGTTGAATTTCTTTTTTTAATATTTATTTACTTATTATGTATACAATATTCTGTCTGTAAGTGTATCTGCAGGCCAGAAGAGGGCACCAAACTTCATTACAGATGGTTGTGAGCCACCATGTGGTTGCTGGGAATTGAACTCATGACCTTTGGAAGAGCAGGCAATGCTCTTAACCACTGAGCCATCTCTCCAGCCCCTGAATTTCTTGAATGATGATTAAGGCAGGAGGGCCCGGTTCACAGTAGGTGGAGCCATTCCTAGGGTGCTGATCCTGGATTCTATAAGAAAACAGGCTGAGGGGCTGGAGAGATGCCTCAGAGGTTAAGAGCCCAGGCTGCTCTACCAGAGGTCCTGAGTTCAATTCCCAGCGACTACAACCATCTATAATATCTCACAACCATCTATAATGAGATCCGGTGCCCTCTTCTGGCCTGCAGGCATATATGCAGTCAGAACACTGTATATAATATACATTTAAAAAATCTTTAAAAAAAAAAAAAAAGAAAGAAAGAAGAGAAAATTCAGGATGGTGGTGGCAAATACCTTTAATTCTGATACTTGGGAAGAAAGCAGACTGAGCAAGCAGGCCATGAAGAGCCAGCCGGTGACCTCCATGACCTCTGCCTCAACTCCTGCCTTCAGGTTCCTGTCCTTACTTCTTGCCCTGACTCCCAGGGGAAATAAACCCTCCCCCCCCCCACAGCTGTTTTTGGATACAGCAATAAGATCTCTACCTAAGACAGATTTCCCTCGAAAGCTGGAGTTACAGGTGCTGTGAACTGTCCAAGATGGGAACTGGGAACAGAACCTGGGTCCTCTGGGAAAGCGGTATCTATATTTAACCACTGAGCCTCCTTAACATTGTTTGTTTTTAAAGATGTATTTACGGGGCTGGAAAGATGGCTCAGGGGTTAAGAGCATTGCCTGCTCTTCCAAAGGTCCTGAGTTCAATTCCCAGCAACCACGTGGTGGCTCACAACCATCTATAATGAGACCTCTTCTGGCCTGCAAGCATATATGCAGGCAGAATACTGTATACATACATACATACATAAGTCTTTAAAAAAGATGTATTTACTCATTATGTATATAGTGTTCTGCCTGCATGTATGCCTGTATGTCAGAAGTGGCACCAGATCTCATTATAGATGGTTGTGAACCACCATGTGGTTGCTGGGAATTGAACTCAGGACCGCTGGAAAAACAGGCAGTGCTCTTAACCTCTGAGCCATCTCTCCAGCCCAAGAAACAAAACTTTTAAAGAAAGAAATAATCTGCTATGACATTTGCTTAAAGAAACTTCCTTTTGGAGCTGAAGAGATGGCTCAGTAGTTAAGAGCATTGGCTGCTCTTCTTGAGTACCTGGTTCAATTCCCACATTCACATGGCAGTTCACAAACATCTGTAACTCCAATCCCATGGGATCCAAAGCCCTCTTCTAGCCTTCTCAAGTACCAGGCATTAATGGTGTGCACAGAGATACATGCAGACAAAATACCCACAGACATAGAAATAAATTAATAAAATAATTTTTAAAAACTTCCCTTTGACACCTGAGCCCAGGTGACCTCAGATTTTCAGACCTCTTATTTCAAAACAAAACAAAAACTGAATATGGGATTACACGCCTTTAATCCCAGCACTCAGGAGGCAGAGGCAGGAGGATCTCTGAGTTCGAGGCCAGCCTGGTCTACAGAGGTAGTTCCAGGACAGCCAGGGCTACACAAAGAAACTCTGTCTCCAAAATAAAGGGAAGGAGAGACAAGAAAAGAGAAAATAGAAGAAAGAACAGAAAACCCCCCAAAAAAGCTATCACACTCTCTTTTAAAGGTATTGTCCAGAAATTGGACATATAATTTCCACTTGCATACTTCAGTAGAATTCCATCTAGGAGTCACACCTAACTGGCAGGTCGTTTGGGAAATGTTGGTTTTCCTCTGGTTAGCAATGAAGCTAGCAAAACCATCAATTACTCTGGAAAGTGGGAGGACAGGACATCAGACAAAAATACGTGTGCTGCTCCTGGGGTCCCTCACAGCAAAGACTGGCAGCTCACATTCAGGCTTAGGGCCGGAACGTGACAGCCTCAGTAGAGTGTTTGCCTAGCATGCAGACGGTCCTGAGTTCAATCTAAGCCTTGATTAAACCAGGCACAGAAGAGTGAGAAGATCAAGATCATCTTTGATATGTTGTGAGTTAGAGGCTACCCTGGGATACGTGAGACCCTGTCTCATTCATATATATATATATATATATATCCAGGAGGTGCACACCTTTAATCCCAGTACTCGGGAGGCAGAGGCAGGGGGATTTCTGTGAGTTTAAGGCCAGCTTGGTCTACAGAGTGAGTTCCAGAACATCCAGCCAGCACTGTTAAACAGAGAAACCTTGTCTCGAAAAACAAAAACAAAAAAAGGAGGAGGGGGCAGGCTGGAAAGCCATAAGGAGCAAGCCAGGACAAGGGTTCCTCCATGGCCTCTACTTCAGTTCCTGCCCTGAGCTGTGGCTTTAACTTCCCTTCAAGAAGGACTGTAGCTAAATAAAACCTTTCCTCCTCAGGCTGCTTTTGGACATGGCCTCTATTACAGCAGTAGAAACCAAACTAAGATACCGTAATTCAAAAAAGTGTGGGGACATTTTATTGGTTGTGAACCTAGCTTTTAACGACTGGGCCATCTCTACAGCCTGGAGGGCACAGTTTAATGTCATATCTCAGCGGTTATTAACCTTCTTAATGCTGCGCCCCTTTAATACAGTTCCTCACGTTGTGGTGACCCCCCAACTATAAAATTATTTTTGTAGCCACTTCATAACGGTAATTTTGCTACTGTTATGAATCATATGTAAATATCTGATATGCAACCCCCAAGGGGTCGAGACCCACGTGCTGAGAATCGCTGTCATATGTAGTCATTCTTGCGTTAGAGGCTGCGGTTTAAGCCCAAGATCCATCCCTCATCCTCTCTGCCTCTGCTCTAAGTCAGTTTATTCCCTTCTGCTCTAGACGTTTTCTTTCCTAAGACGAGAGCAGATTTGGGAGGCGGCCACAGGCAGCATATACAGAAAGAATGAATTCTCCCATGGCCTCCCTCTACCTCAAAAGAAAGATTTCTGATCCCAGAAGTTCCCGAGACAGAAATCCAGGGCAGGGTTCTCATTGGTTCAGCCTACATCCTATTCTGGACGGGGCGTTATGATTTGTCTGACTAGATTAACACGTCTGTCTCTCAGCCAATCACAGTGGCGAGAAGCTGATGGACAACAAAGAGTCAACTCTGGCCGGACAATGTGGTGCACACCTTTTCTCCCAGCACTCGGGAGGCCAGCAGATCTCTGAAACTGAGGCCAGCCTTAAGCCTTATCTGCAGAGTGAGTTTCAGGACAGCTACGACTACACAGAGAAACCCTGTCTCGAAAAGGAGGAGGGGGAAGGAGAGAGGAAGAATGAATGAATGAGGAGGCGGAGGAGGAGGAGGAGAAGGAGGAGAGAGAATAAGAAGCAGGAGGAGGAGAGAATGAATAAATGAGGGGGAGGAGAGAGAGAATGAATGAGGAGGAGGAGGAGAGAGAGAGAATTAATGAATAAGGAGCAGGAGGAGGAGAGAGAGAATGAAGGAAGGAATGTCACCTCCTATTCTTTTGTTGTTGTTTTTGAGGCAGGGTTTCTCTGTCCTGTCCTGGAACTAGCTCTTGTGGACCAGGCTGGCCTCGAACTCAGAGATGCACCTGCCTCTGCCTCCCGAGTGCGGGGATTAAAGGCGCCACCACCGCCCGGCGTTACTGCCTATTCTAAACGAGGGAACTGTATAGTAGTTAGTATACGGTACCATATACTGTACAGTAGTCTCTGCTACCCTTATATAAGTTCTTTTTCCTTCTGTGTCTTGAATCCTAGAATAAGGAGTCACACTGTCTAAAGGATCAGAAAGGAAATGAGAACTGTGATGTCCCCAGCCCAGTCAAGCACCAGATCTCTGCATACAGCAGTGTCAATGAACGAATGAAAAGGTTTTGCATCCAGAGACTGTCCTGGGTACAGATCCTGAGAGGGTCAAGAGTCAAGTGGAGATTCCTACATATTGCTCTAGTGCACCTTTTAAATTCCCATGTTTGTTTACATTTATACAGAGTGCAAATGGAGGTCAGAGGAATACTTGTGGGAGTCTGGTTCCCCTTCTGACGTGAGTCCTCAGAATCGAACTCATATCATCGCACTTGACGGCAAGCGCCTTCACCCGCTGAGTCATCCCAGCATACTGTACCGGCAGAGGATGGAACCTTCAGGACAGGGACGGAACCTAGAAGACCCGGCCACTGTGAAGAGCCGGGCCAGGCAAGGCTCCCAGACCCCAAGGTTTTGGATTAAACCATCTTGTATCTGCTCAAGGGGAGAGAGAAGAAAGTCCTTCTGCGTCTTTCTCCAGCCTTTTTGCTACTTCCAAGCCTCAGAGACAACGTATTTGCGTCTGCAACACCCACACCGTTACCGTCTTCGCCTCTTTATGCCGCGCGGCCCCACAGAGCCACACAGCTCGTGCAGTCCCCCCACACACACCGCTCAGTGGCTCGCCCCGGTTTGACGCATTGCAGGGAAGGCCGGACCAATCGGCGTTGCGTTCTCATTTCCGCCACGAGGCGGGTCCAATGGCTGCGTGGCTCACAGAGGGACGCGTCACTCTCCGCCAACCGGTGCCCCTCCGCCAAAGAGGGAAGCTGAGCGGATAGAAGAGGCTGAGAGCGCGGAGACCGAAAGTAGTCCTCGTGGCGGGGAGCGCGCGTGCGCGTGCCCGGCGGCCAATTCCCGGGGCGAAGAGCGCGGTCCTGGAGCGGAGGGATCCGGAGAAAGCCGCAGTGCCGCGGGAGCGCGCGGGCCGGGTGGGGCGGGGCCGGGCAAGGCTGCCGTTGAGGGACCGTTGGGGCGGGCGGCGGCGGCGGCGGCGCGCGCTGCGGGCAAAGAGTGTGGAGGCGCGGACGCGCGGCGGAGCTCGAGCTGCTGCAGCTGCTGCCGCCGCCAGAGTAACCTCGATCCCCGAGCTCCGGACACCCGGTGCCTCGCCATGGTGAGTGAGGCGGCCGATGTCGGGAGGGGACCCCCCGAGATGACGAGCGAACCTTGGGAGACAGAGACCGGGCCCCTCGGGATCTCCCAGGCGGCCCTTGGGACTTCTAGAAGCTACTTTATCACCAGGTTGAATTGGTGGGACCCCCAAACAGATAATCTGAGACTTCAAATAGGGGAACACTGGACACCCTCCCCCCCGCGCGCGCAAGGAGCATTCGGATCTATCACGGGACGATTGATCTCAGAATCACATCCTTACCCCCCGCCCCGACCAAGGGAGGAGAAAATAGAAAACGCCGGCGATGAAGGCTTTAGTTTCTGGAAGAATGCAGGAGGCTGTTCCTGGAGGGGTGGCCGTGGGTAGCTGAGCCTGAGTGGGAGAGGGGGCCGATCGGCTCCTCAGGGGTATTCTGCAGAGGAGAGAATAGATGGAGATGGGATCCGGGGTCACTTCTGCCTACTAGACCCCGGTGGGGGAGGGGTCTCCAAGGACAAGCATTGCCGAGGAGGAGGGTCAGGTGCAGGCTGAGGTAAGGAGGAGCCGAGGTGGGTGGCTGCAGAGGCTAGAAGATGCTCTTGGAGCTTGCGGGGACCCACAGGGGGATTGAGGAGGATTGGGGTCCTCTTAGAGATGTTTTAAAGGAGTAGGAATGTGATCAGGGGTAGTGGGGAAACCAGGGAGCCTTGTGGAGAACTTGGTAGGGGGTAGCTAGGAAGGATTCTGAGGTTAAGGTTGTTGCACTACGAAGAGGGATTGAAGGGAGGGTTGGTGAGGTGTGTTTTGTTTGGGTCGGTGAAAAACGGGGTTTCCAAGGTGAGGGATGGGGGAGGACTTGGGTTTGGGTGGTGGGGTGAGATTGGGCAGGCTTCTAGAGGCGTGGTGGAGGAGACAATGAATGGTAACTGAGGTAGGCCTAGGTTTAGAGGTGGCTGTCTCCAGGGAAAGGTCCCACACAAAAGCTGATGAAGAGCCTGGGTTGGTAGTGGGCTCCTGCAGAGGATCTGAAGGAATGGCTGCGCGGCCCCCTTTCCCTGGGAAGAATGGAGCTAGGCCAGGCTGAAGGCACCATGGCAGCAGGAGCGGGTGGGCGGAGTTGTTCAGGTCCCTATTGCGCACTGAAACTGCATGAAATGAGAGTGGGGTCAAAGTTTGGGGTGCACCAGATAAGCTATCTTGCTTAAGCCAGGAAGCCTGGCCCCCTCGTTGTCCCCTCTAAGCCAGAAGAACTGCCTTTTTCCTCCAGCTCCATGCACCTGCCTCTACTCACTGTGCCAAATGACAGTGCAATACAGTACAGTGTGGTGTCAGTGACAGACTCCTAGTCCCATCCTCAGGGTGGGGGCTGCAGTGCTTCTCCAGAGAAGACCTTCAAGGGACCCTCTCATTGGCTTGAGGGCCACTTGTTCTTTAAAGGCCTCTTGCCCAGCTCCCCACAGCTAGAGCTTCTAGAGGCAAAACAGCAGACTACTTCTCCCCTGGTCCTGCCACCCACAACATCCCCAGCCCCCCCAGGCTCAGCCTGGGAACCGTGTGCACCACCCTCCCTGGCAAAGCTGGGGAGGACAGGCAGCCGCCACCATGTATCAGATCTCATACTGCTGACACAGACCTGAGGGCTCCTCTTGCCGCCACCCCATTCCCCCCCCAGCAGAACCTTGCTAAAGGAGCCCTGCAGATTGGGCAGCTGCCAGCAACCCCCACTCCCCACCTCCAAAGGAGGGTCCCAGCTTTGGCCCTGACCAGCTTTTCTCTTCCTGTTTGTAGTCAGCAGGATATTGGAGGGAAGAATCCCTGGTAACTGGCCTTGGACTTTGGCCTGAGCTCTGTGGCTCCTCCTTGGCCCGGGTGAGGGGCCCTGGTCTTGGTTTCTGAGCTCATTTAACAGGGCTTTTCTGGCACCCGCTGGGGACTGGAACAAGACAGAGAATAATCTCCTCTTCCCTCCCCACCCCAAGTTGCTTTTTCTTGTCCAGCCTCTCTCTGGAGCCTGAGATGAAGCTTCGGGAAAACGCAGGGTTATTCTTCGGTGAAAGCCAATGATCTGGGCTGGGAAGGGCCTCCAGCAATAGTCAGCCTTACTTCTTGGGCCATTGTTTTCCAGGCCAACAGCCCTGCTGGGATATCTTGTGGCCTTTCCTTGATGGAGCAAGGGAAAGGGCTCCCGGATGTCAGGGAGAGTGTCTGACAGGCCCTCCACAGAGCCAGAGCCACGCCTATTTGCAGCAACCGTGACAGTGCCTCTGCAGCTTCCAGCTCTTTGGGGAGAAATAGCACATAGCAGCCTCCAGGGCCGGGCATCCTTGGCTCTTCTGCTGCAACCTGCCTTGGCCTTCTTGCCCCCATTTCCCCTTTAGTGTCACCAAAAGGGCGAGAAAGCAGGGCTTCTTGCAGGCAGCACTGTGTGATGGGAAGGTCCCAAGTGGGCTGTCTTTTCCCATACTAGGCCCATGGAAGAGAATGAAAAGCAGATGGGCTCCATAGCTGTCCTCCCCGCTGCTCCTCTCTGCTTCCTCCTCCCCTCCCCCAGCACAGACTGGCCTCGGTAACCAGAAGCCCATTCTCTTCTCACTTTCTGGGAGCAGCCAGCAGCAGTGTCCTCAGGTGTCAGAAACAAGGGGTGGGCCTGGGCGCCTTCTCCCACACTTGAGCTCAGGAGGGCAGTTAGAGCAAGGGCTCCTTGGCCCAGGCCACCAGGTCAGGGTTAGGAAGCCCACCACTCTGAGTCATTTTGATAGCCGTGCAAGGACTATCCATTTTGCCTTTGCTATCTCTACTCCCCACTCTCACCCCCGCAGGCATCTCCCCACTGTCACCATCACTTTGACTCCTCTGATACTTTATGTTTGGGGCTTGGTCTCAGGTTCTCTTCCTCCAGATTAAACAGTATCCTCCAGTGTGCATCATTATGAATATGGAGTGGGGTGGGCTGGTGTTTGTAAGACCTGCTCAAGGGGTAAGGGTGGGCAGTGTTTGTGGCCTTTGCTAGAAGCTCCAGAACCTTAGTAGAATGATATGTATGCCTGCCATAGTTCATTCTGTTTCTGGGGGCTCCAAGCTCAGGCTGGGACCCTGCTGTGGCCTTCGTACTCCTTGCCCTCATGGAAAAAGGAAAGGAAGCATCGTGGACTACAGTGGCCCAGGGATTCTCACAGCAAAAATAAAATTAGCCTTATAGCTTAGAAGTTGGAATCCAACCCCCATTCACTCCTCCCTTTAGGACCTCTGCACCACAAACAACCAGGGCTGTAGTGAGGAAGAGCTGAGCACTTTACCTCCACCATGCAACCCTAGATGAAGCGGGTGCTGAAGCCTGGACTGAAAAGGGTTAAAAACTGCAGTGCTGAATAGGAAAGGCTGAAGCCCAAACAGACTTCAGTCCTTTGCCACCGTGGTTGCCTGATGCAGTCACTTCCTGTCGCTTGACCCTCTTACCCAAAAGTAACAGAACAGAATGGTGCCCTATTCCTACCTGGCACGTGAGTGGCTAGAGCAGCCTCTCCCCTGACCAGGGTTCTTTCAGGCCCTGGAGCAACTTGGAGACACCAGTTAAAAGAAGTGTTGACAGTCTAGTATCTCCAAATGAGAAGCTAGCGAAGATAGCCCCAGGCAGCTTCCCTCCACCCTACCCAAGGACTGGCCTGGAACCTTCTAGAGCACTTGATGAGGCCTCTAGGGCAGCTGCTTCTTGCCTCAGCCTCTGGGGCTCCCTAAGCGCAGCCTCAGCACTGCATGCTCTGTATCCAGGTTGGCGTTGGAGCAGCCCTGCTCCCGGGCTGGGTGCTTCCTCAGCATGCCTGTGGTTGCAGCCCACCCTAGCACCTGACTTGTGGGTCCTGACTATCCTAGACCCTGACTCGGGCACGCGCTTCCCTCGCCCAGCAGGTACACCTTATGAAAGTGGCCTCAGCAGAGAGGTCTGGGCAGGGGCAGGATGCCACATCCCAGGTGGGTGGCTTAGCCCTGCGGCTTACTCTCCTTCCTCCTTTTCCAGGCTGACCAGCTGACTGAAGAACAGATTGCAGGTGAGTGCCACTCTGAAGCAGGATCTTAGCTAGCCCCTGATCTGATGACGGGTGTCCAGGCCTGCAGCTAGAATGCTGGTGAATGTGCACTGCCACACCTTCCCCACAGCCCTGGGCCAGGCTATGAGGGCTGTCCACCTCCTCCTGGGTCCCTCCTGGGTCCTTGAAATGACGTTCTCCTGCAAGTCCCACCCAGCTGGCCCTCCCAGTTCGGGCCAACCAAACTGAGGAGGTGTACCCCTACCTCCCTTGCTATTGGCTGGCCACTCCCACCTCCACTGCACACTTGCTTCCTTTTTCCTCTTCCTACTCATCTCTGATAGATCTTAGCTTCCCTGACCCCACCTCAAGCAGGGCGCTTCTTTCTCTCCATCACTCCTGCCTTTGTGGTACAGGCCTTCTGATGTTCTGTTTGGTTTTTTTCCCTGTTATTGCCTGACACCAGGAATCAGTTCCTAGAGCATAGCACTTAGTTGTATTAGCTGCTACCATATCCTCAATGCCTGGAGCATAGTGGGCACCCCATAAATTCTTCCTGCATAAACAACAGTCTCCTGCCTCACATAAGCTAAGCAAACCCCCCTAGACCCCATGTGGCTTTATTTTTGTGGCTCTGCCCCCAACCCAAGCCCCCAGGAAGACCAGCTGCAGGACTGATGGAGCTATGGACTAGGTTTCCATGCTTCTGCCCCTCCCCCTCCATAGCCTGAGGCATTCCTGGGATATCTCCTAACCACAGGTTGCCACACAGCTGACCAGAGGCCAAAATAAGAGAAGAGAAGGTCTCTGCCCTCAGCTTTGCTGTCCATGACCTATTAGGAGAGGACCTGTTTTCTCAGAGTCACACTTTGGCCCTGAGCAGCTAGAGAGCCACCAAGGAAAGCTGAAAGATTAGAATTGTTTATTGGTCATGAGCTCATGGGTCACATGACCCGCTCTCGACTGCCTGCCCCACTACCAGCATCCCCAAGGAGACTTGGACTATTTCCCCGAGCCCAGAAGCTCAGGTCACAGCTGCCCAGCAGTGTGTGTCCCTTCCATCCCCAGCCTGGCCCTCTTATAACACAAACACCTCGCTTTTCACCCTGAGCCCATTAGCAAAACGTCCACCACCCCCCTCCACCACCCCCGCCCCCAGCCCACACCCTCTTGAGAACAGGCTGCCAGGCATCTGTTCTCAGAGGGTTTGGGGGTGGGGAGCTCTGGGTGCCAAAGTGGGCCCAGTGGGAGGGCAGGAGCCACATGCTTCTCTCCCTTCTCCTGATGCGGCCCCAGCTGTGGCCTTCCCACTCAGCACCACACTCCTGGTCCTCCTGACTTGGCAGGCATCCCCCTTTGCCTCCCAGCCCCTCAGCCCCACATACTGCCCATCAACCAAGTCCTGCTGCGGACAGCCCCACACGTCACCGCCCCCACAGGCTTGACGCCTCCTCTGGAAGCTGGTAGGACCCACAGCTGGGGACTGGGCTGGCAGTGCACAACAGAAGGAATTTGATGTAACATTTCCCTTTGAGATTGACACAGAACCTCTGCAGTCTCCCCTTCTCCTCCTGCCAGTTGACCGTGGCTAGTGAACTTCAGATGGAGAATTGTCTTGCCTCTTATCCGTTCCATCACTTTGGTCCAGTGCATCATTTGAGAGAGAGGCCAAAGCCAGGGACCACAAAGAAATGGAGAACTATGAGAGGACAGCTGTCAGGCCAGATCACTTGGCTCGATGGGCTGAGGAGGAAAGAGTGAAAGAAGGCAGGGGTACACTGAAGAGTGGGAGCCCTGAGCCCTGTGTCTTCCCTTCCACCTGAAAACAGGTGACTACTGTAACCCTTGGCTGCTGGTACATTCCTTTCTTTCCCCAGAGTTCAAGGAAGCCTTCTCCCTCTTTGACAAGGATGGAGATGGCACCATTACCACCAAGGAGCTGGGGACTGTGATGAGATCGCTGGGGCAGAACCCTACTGAGGCTGAACTGCAGGACATGATCAATGAGGTGGACGCTGATGGTGAGCTCCTAAGAGTGTGCTCACCCACTCTGCTCACTCGACCTCGGGGAACTGTTATCTCTCCTACAGGGCTCTGGGTAACACCTACCTCTCTGCTCTTCCAGGCAATGGGACCATTGACTTCCCAGAGTTCCTGACCATGATGGCCAGAAAGATGAAGGATACAGACAGTGAGGAGGAGATCCGAGAGGCCTTCCGTGTCTTTGACAAGGTAAGCAGTCAGTCCCTATGACAGATGCCTAAACAGTAAAGCTAGAGTCTCCTCTGCACTTCCAGAACCCCTTCTCCCAGTATGTGGGGGAGGCCACTACAGCTCTCCAAGCAGGGGAAGCTGAGTGACAAGCCTTGGTCCCCAAACCCCAGGATGGGAATGGCTATATCAGTGCCGCCGAGCTGCGTCACGTCATGACGAACCTGGGGGAGAAGCTGACGGATGAGGAAGTGGACGAGATGATCCGAGAGGCTGACATTGATGGAGATGGCCAGGTCAATTATGAAGGTGAGTTGTGTTCGGCAGGTCCTCCATGCCCTGGAGCTGGGAGACTCACAGGGGTTTAGCTTGTGGTGGACTCAACTCCACATCTCTTGGCAGAGTTTGTACAGATGATGACTGCGAAGTGAAGGCCCGGGCAGCTGGCCATGCCCGTTCTCCTGATCTCTTCTCGCGCTCTCCTCTCTTCAACACTCCCCTGCGTACCCGGTTCTAGCAAACACCAATTGATTGACTGAGAATCTGATAAAGCAACAAAAGATTTGTCCCAAGCTGCATGACTGCTCTTTCCCCGTCCTCCTGACTGTCCCTCCATGCCCCTCATCGCTTCCTTTGGCCTCCCCCCTTCTGTTCCCATTTTCCAGGCCTGATGCATTCATAAGGTGAACCCCATTGCCCTGGGGAGCCTCTGCCCTCCTCCTCCAGCCCGGATGGCTCTCCTCTGTTTTTGGTTTGTTTCCTTCTGTTTGCCCTTCTTTGGGTGCTGGGGTGACCACCAGTCCTGTCCCTGCCCAGTGGGGAGGGGAGCCAGACTTGCCAGGTGGAGGAGCATGTCCTCTGCCACTGTTGCATGCACCCCAGCCCTGTGATTCTATGTGCAAACCCAGCAGCCTGTGGGGCGGGGTGCCAAGAGGGGGCGTTCCAGGACTGAGAGTCGAGGAAGTGTGGCAGTGACAGGATGTGACCCAGGATGGGGGTGGGGGGTGGGAGGGTTGGGAAGGGGCAGGAAGGCTCTTGGAAGCTAACATGCTTTCACTGCTGGAGGGGGACGGACAGAGCGGACAGCACTCGGGTCTGTTCTGAAACCATCTGGCTGGCTTTCTGAGGTCAAGCTGGGTGGGGGACTGTCATTGGCCATGATGCCGATCACACTTGCCCTCATCCCTCCAGCGATCTCACGCTGTTCTGTAAATACCTGGTGCTAACATCCCATGCCGCTCCCCCATGGCGTCCCCAGCCACCTGCCCAGTTCAGGGCTGGTCCAAGAATGATGTGGGGGATGGTCGCTGTGTAATGTGCTGGTGATCTTTTTTCTTCTTCCCCTTTATGCCCCTTAAAACTTTGATTTTTGTCCCTAACATGCCGGGCCAACTAAAGGAAGGGTGGGGAGAGGGGAGATGAGCCCCACCATGCTCACAAGAACCAACCTGCAATAAACACTTCTGTGGGCCACCGCGCAGAGCACGCAGCGGGCACCTCCTGCCCCTCCGTGGTGACTTGGCATTGCTTTCTGCCCGCCTCTGCCCTCCTCACCCTGCCTGCCCCACTCCCCGGCGGAGAGCATGATCCGCACCCTTGCTTCTGACTCTAGCCTCTGGGACATATGTCAGTCAACGTGGGCAGTTCAGTCTGGGTTCGTTTCCTTTCTCTGTTCTCATCTGGCCCCCCAGGGCAATCACGTTGCTTTTGCTGGGACCTGCCCAGCTTTGAGACTCCTTTCCACCCCTTGGCACCAGCCTTGAGGGAGGGAGGGAGGGACAGGGCATATCGGGAGACCCAGCCAAGAGCTGAGGGTAAGGGCAGGTAGACGTGAGGCTGTGGACTTTGCGGAATGTTTCGGTTTTTGTTTTTTCGTTTTGTTTTTTATTTTTGTTTTTGTTTTTAAACCGGGCAATATTGTGTTCAGTTCAAGCTGTGAAGAAAAATATATATCAATGTTTTCCAATAAAATACAGTGACTACCTGTCTGGACTCTTCCATCTGCCCTCAACCTTCCTCTGGACAGGTCACCGAGGATAGGTACTACCCTGGCCCAGCAGTCTGGATCTGTCTGGGTGAGGACTTCAGAGAGAGGCCCACCGTCAGGAGAGCTCCCAGAGGCACCTGACCCAACATGGAGAAAGGGTACTACAGCCAAAGGGAACTAGGGAAACCTTGTGACTGGGGAACAGATTGTGAGGGGCCAAAGACTGGTTGGAACAAAGGGTGACAGGTTCTTCATGGGTGAGTCTCCCTGGTGGCCTCCCAACTATGACACCAGTTAATCACTGGCAGCATATGTAAGAGCAGGAGTGCCCCAGAGGATCTTGAGCAGTTGTGACTCACCCCTAGGGCCATGTTCAGGGCCAGCCTGGGCTGCAGAGAGACCCAGTCTCATTTGAAAAAACAAAAACTCCAATCAGTTGCAAGGCACAGCTGCTCACTGACTTCCTGCACTTCGCGAGGCTGTGGAGAGAGGCCTCCAGTTCTCTGGAGCTGCAGCAGAGGGATGTGGTAGGGTGTGCATAAAGAGCTCCCAGCGGCAGGCCCCCCTCGCCTCCTGATTTCAAGGGGGCCAGAGAGGTGGCTCAACAGCTAAGAGCCCGACAGCCACATAAGCCCATTGCTGTAGGGCACATCTGTATGTAGTCCTAGCACTCCTATGGTGAGATCCGAGAGTCTGCTGAGAGACCCTGCTTCAAAGCAGGCGGAGAAGAACCTGCTAGCCACACCTGTACTCCTACAAGGATAGATGGGGCCACATCGTACTGAGTGGAGCAGTGGCTTTTCCCCTGGGCCTCAGTTTACTAAAATGGAAAGTAATTCCTGAACTACTAGAAATAAGCTCCAGGTTGTGCCACCATGTGTTCATATCCTCACCCTGCTTTGGCTTAGGAGCTGGAGACTTGGTTTGTTTTTTCCCTGACAGGAAGCCTGAGCAGGTAAAGCCTGCCACTTGGAAGTGACAGTAGAATCAAACTTTCCTCTTGTCACTGGGCTTCCAGATGCCGCGCGTTTGACCACAGCATACCCCCAGTCCACCCCCACCACAATGAATCCTTACCAATGTTTGGGAAAACTTACTACTTGAAGACAGGTCACATTATTAAATAGCCATCACACTGCCCCCTTTTATCTTTTACAAAACAAAGACACCCCACACAGAGCTTGTAACAGTCCCAGGGTGAACAGTGAGGCCAGGCAGCTAGCTACAACTCCAGGCCAAGGAAGCACTTAAGGGGAGCAGTCGTGTCCAGATCAGGCTCCCAGATATGGAGGTGCCAGGCAGAGTCCCCTCAGAGTCCAAGCAGCCACCTCTGTCATTCTCAGCATGACCAGCAGATGGAGCCATGAGGCCAGAGGCCTGCTGCTCAGGCCCTTGGGACTGGTACTTATTAGTGTTGCGTTCTTTAACAGTTTTTTACAACTTAGCTTGATTAGCAACCTAGGAAGCCCTCAGCCACTGCTATCTGCAGTTCAGTGCAGTTGGAAGATGGGTGGTGTGACTGGCCTTGGAGCTGAAGCACATGCTCTCCTTGGCTAGGCTCACTCTCTGGCCTCACTGGTTTCCTTCTCAGCAAACTGGCCCTGTGCCTCAGCATGGCTCCTGCTGTTCCTGATGTGTGTCTGTTCTCTCTACAATACAGCCACAACTAGAAGATTGCTAATGACTCAATGGCCGCTGCCTCCACAGCCTCCATCCATCCATCATGCTCCTAGAAAGTTGTAACTTCTGTTGTACATGACCTTATTCAGCTCCTCCATAGGTTCTGGGTCACTGTGTGGAGTTACTCCCATCAGGTCATAGCCCTATCTGTAGGCTTGTCTTTTTCTCTGCTGGGCATGGAACCCATGGTCACGAGCATGGGAAGCAAGCCATCTTCCTCTGAGTCACATTTCCAGAGCTTAGTGGTTTGCTGCTTTTTTCAAAAGCCATTTCTGTATTTGTTTGTTTTATTGAGACAGGGTTTCTCTGTATATCCCTGACTATCCTGGAACTTGCTCTGTAGACCGGGATGGCCTCAAACTCAGAGAGCTACCTACCCCTGCCTCCCAAGCGCTGGGATTAAAGGCAGGTGCCACCACCACCCAGCTACTTTTTATTTTCTTTAATTTGGTTTGGTTTGAGAGAGAGTCTCATGTAGCCCAGGCTGGTCTAGAACTCACTATGCAACTGAAGATGACCTTAAACTCCTGATGCTCCTGCCTCTACCTTGAGTGCTGGCATTACAAACCTGTACCACCACACCCAGCTTCAAAACTGCTGGAGCCGGGCAGTGGTGGCGCACGCCTTTAATCCCAGCACTTGGGAGGCAGAGGCAGGCGGATCTCTGTGAGTTCGAGACCAGCCTGGTCTACAAGAGCTAGTTCTAGGACAGGCTCCAAAACCACAGAGAAACCCTGTCTCGAAAAACCAAAAAAAAAAAAAAAAACCGTGCTGGAGATGGAGCCCAAGGCTTTGAGCAAAGTCAGCAACTCTACCAGCTGAGCCACATCCCCAGACTGCCTTTGATTTTCTTGAGACAAGATCTTGCTAAGTAACCTAGGCTAGCCTCCAGCTTCAGGCAATTGTGCCTCGGCCTTCCAAGTGCAGAAATGAAAGGTATTTGTCATACACCCAGCTTGTACATGTTGTCAGTTCAGTGCTAGGAAGAAAAGAAAGAGGGCTGGCAAGATGGTTCAGCAGATAAAGGTGCTTGCCACCAAGCCTGAAACCTAAGTTCAATTCCTGGAACCGACATAGTAGAGAGAGAATTGGTTCCTGAAAGTTGTTTTCTGACCTCGGTATGCTCACTGTGGCATATGTACACACACATGCACGCACGCAAAGTAAGTGTAAAAGACTTGTAAAGAAATGACTAGAGAAGTTGAAGGGTTAATTGGGAGAAGCGGGTCAGCAGAGTGGGAGAGGATGAGAGAGGGTTCTGGGGTGAATTGACTGCCCTACTTTGTACATGATATAAAATGGTGACAGACCCACCCCCAACAGGTGCCTGGGACTTTTCCCCACACATCCATGTCCGATGTTCTATCTGTCCACAGCACAACTTGTAATTTCATGTGTAAGATGCTTCCTCTCACACATATTGATGTGATTGTTCAGTCGTTGTCCCTCTGGACTGTGAGAAAGTTAGGGCCAAGGCTGTGTTCTTTTTGCTCCATCAGACACTGAGTAGCCTCTGGCTCACAGTGGACCCAAGGGAAAGTATGACGAATTAGTAACACACGAGAGGCCCGAGAAACCAGTGAGGCATTGGATCTCAAAGTCAGAACTTACAACAAAACAGAAACACTCCCTGCTACTCGGCTGGATTGCTTCCTAAATCCTTAGCCCAGTGCAGTCACCACCTCCAAGAAGCCCTCACTGCTGTCCCTCTGCCCTTCCCGAGCCCTGACCACATGAACACAGGGCTGTGAGCCCCAGGAGAGCAGAATCAGGGATGTGTCTGCCACTGGCGTGTCCCCAGCGTCACAATGGACGGGTCAAGATGGGTGAGAGGGTAGACGCGGGTATATCCTGGCAGGCTGCCATCATGACACTGAAAGGGGTCAGAAAGCGGTGGGGGAGGAAGCAAAGTTTAAGTGATCTTTTTTCCATTTTTTAGGGTGCTAGGCGTTGACACCAAGGCTCACACTTGTGAAATGCACATTCCACCCCTGAGCAGGAAAGCCCCCACCTCCACCCAGTTCTGAAGATGGAATACGGAGCCCAGGGCCCCAACTAGGCAAGCGGTGGCTACTGAGTCACATTTTTGTTTGTTTGGTTTTGTTTTCGAGACAGGGTTTCTCTGTAACTTTGGAGCCTGTCCTGGAACTCACTCTGTAGACCAAGCTGGCCTCGAACTCAGATCCACCTGCCTCTGCGAGTGCTGGGATTAAAGGTGTGCGCCACCACCACTCCACTTGAACCACATTCTTTTTTTTTTAATTATTTATTTATTTATTTATTATGTATACAATATTCTGTCTATGTGTATGTCTGCAGGCCAGAAGAGGGCACCAGACCCCATTACAGATGGTTGTGAGCCACCATGTGGTTGCTGGGAATTGAACTCAGGACCTTTGGAAGAGCAGGCAATGCCCTTAACCACTGAGCCATCTCTCCAGCCCCTTGAACCACATTCTTTTAAGCCAGAGCTGGCCTTACATTCTCCGTTGCTGGGGATAGACCTGGACCTCCTTCCTACTCGACTGCCAAAACCGAGACCACAGGTGTGCGCCACCATGCTTTACTCTTTTGTTCTTTCTAAATTAGCTCAACCTCTCCAGCACTAAGACTATAGGTGTAAGCCCCTGTGCCCAGCTGACCTTTTGTTTTGTTTTGTTCAAGACAGGGTTTCTCTATGTAACCTCCCTGGCTGTCCTGGAACTTGTTCTGTAGATCAATCTGGCCTCGAACTCACAAAGATCCACCTGCCTCTGTTTCCCGAGAGCTGGGATTAAAAGCATGTGGTACCACCACCCAGCCAGCTGACTTTTTATTAATAACCTCAACTAATATACTGTTATTATTCTGGGATTGATTTGAAGCTAGGCATGGTGCCCTATACCTATAACTCCAGCCTAGGGAGGTAGAAGGATCGGGACTCCAAACTTATCCTCTGCTACCTGGCAAGTTCCAGACTAGCCTGGGCTCCATGACACCCTATCTAAAGATGTTTAAAGTGCTCTGGGATGACGGTTCAGTGAGTGAAAGCCCTGGCAGTGCAATCATGAGCTCCAGATCCTAGCACCCGCGAAGCAAGCTGCGTGTCCCAAAGCACCTGTAGCTCCAGTCCCAAGGAATCCAGTGCCCTCTTCTGGCTTCTGAACATGCAAAGATGCACAAATGCACACCCGAGCACATGTGCATGCATGCACACACATGCGCATGCACACACATGCGCATGCACACACGCACACACACATGCACATGCACACGCGCTCACACACATGCAACGCACACATCTAAGAAAATAGCATGAACATTTCTAAAAGCTTTCG